GCTGCCCAGTGGAGAGTTTTATGTATCACAGAATTATGGTGTGAATTTGATATGTAATATCCTATACTTTCTCCTGTGACAGGAACTACCTGCTGTCCTGTTCTGAGGATGGTACTGTCAGATTGTGGAGCCTCCAAACATTCACGTGTCTGGTGGGATATAAAGGACACAACTATCCAGTATGGGATACACAGTTCTCTCCTTACGGGTATTACTTTGTGTCAGGGGGACACGACAGAGTGGCTAGGTAAGAAATTAGATGAGTTTTCTACATATCAGTTTTGTGGTGAATTAACCCTGTAAGAGATTTTTGGCTGATATACTATAGGCTAACCTATTTTGGGAAGTAAATTTTATTACACGGGAATTAAAATACTGAGCAGCTGTTTTAACATACATATTTTTTTCCTTTCAACACACATCAGAGATAGCATCCTCCTTCGTGGTCATTTAATTAAAAATATTTTCTCCTGCTGTTTATTTACCATGACAGAATATTCTTTATTTCTCCCTTTTGAGAAGCACAGTTTTCCAGAACACAGATCCTGCTAATTCAGTAAACTTACCAGTGAGAAGCCATTCATTAATTACTTCCTTTTTTAATTACCGTGCAATAGATTCTGAACTTCTTGGGGGCTCCCTTTATTAACGAAGCTTTTCTTTTCAGACTGTGGGCAACAGATCATTACCAGCCTTTACGGATATTTGCTGGCCACCTCGCAGATGTGACATGTACTCGATTTCACCCTAACTCCAACTATATTGCCACTGGCTCAGCAGACAGAACTGTACGGCTCTGGGATGTTTTAAATGGGAATTGTGTAAGAATATTCACTGGACATAAGGTAAAGGCACATCACCGATGTGACAATTTCTATGGTGGGATTCTGAAGAATACAGCCTTTAGAATACAGATTGACTGGCTAAGAAGGCTTAATTAGCTTGTTTGGCTTTCCTCTCTGCAAATGTCTTTTGTAGGGTCCGATTCATTCGTTGGCATTTTCTCCTAATGGACGATTCCTGGCTACTGGAGCAACAGATGGCAGAGTTCTGCTGTGGGATATTGGACACGGCTTGATGGTCGGAGAACTGAAAGGGCACACTGACACCATCTATGCGCTCCGATTCAGTAGGGATGGGGAGATTTTAGCATCAGGTAAAAGTCGCTGGAAGCAAGCAAGTTTCCGTTGTGTTCCGTCTATGTGAAGTGGGATTATGTAATGGATTCCTTAAGCTGTGGAAGACAAATTAGTCACTGTCTTAAGCAGACCCAGCAAATTAAAACTGGTGGTACCAGGTATTCTGGGAACTGGAGGAAAGGTGTTACACAGTTAATTGATAGTGAAGGTTGGGCTCTGTACGTAGTGCTGGTGTAAACTGAAGTCAGAAATACTTCTGGGGCAGACAAGAAATGGCTGGTCTTAAAGATGCGTGGGGTACTGAGATGGGAGGAGAGGTGGGGGGCCACGTAGCAGGACTTGAAGAGAGGGCAAGAAAATAAGTAATCTGTTGCCTTACTGTTTCTTCGTGCTAGATTTTTAATATAAAATTATGTATCAATGATCAGGTTTATGAGCAGTGGAACTTGTGAAGTTTGCTTGGTTTTCCTGCTTGTCCACGTGGATACTCTGGTGGCTGATTTGGTAGGGCTCCTTTGGTAGGGCCACTATTTTCACTCTGTGGAGGCACAGTTTCGTCTCTGTGAACTGTTGTCTTAAAATGCATAGGAATTTAGGAAATTCCAAATTTGCTCTGTTCTGTCAGTTAGTTGAAGTTAGTGAAAAAGTTCGTTTTCTGATAGAAGAAATAATGTACAGATACTGTAAGCTGGATTCTAAGTAATTTCCTTACAAAATCAGGCTAGGAATTTCTTTAGTTCCCTCTTCCTAACTGCAGTGCTTTAAGAATCCTGAGTGAGCCGCTACCACAGGGTGAATGCTTCCGGAGTGCAGGTTTGATCCAGCCTGCATGGTGGTTCCTTCAGCTGACCAGTGCTCCAATGAAAGCACAGACCTCTGGGCCTGCAAAATACTGGGGTCTTCCCTCTATCAAAGAAAGTATTCAAGTATCAGAAAAAAAGTTACTGTGACTTAGAATCATAAACATCTGGTGGAGTTGGGATGTAGCCCTAAGTCTTGCCTTTTCAAGTGCTGGCTGATAGCATGGAAACCCAGATGTGCTTCTTTGCACTTTATCCACAGTGTGTCCCTGTTAGATTACAGGTGATAGCTTTTATGTGTGCTTTTGCTTTGTTAAAGGCTTGTTTAAAAATGCTTCATTGCAGGATGAGGGCTTACTATTCAGTTATGAGTAATTCTGCTTTGTGAGTTTGAATTCCTATTGTGTTTACTTGCTGTCTAGCAAGGAAAAGACTTTTAACTGTTACTTTCCTTTTTTCTCTTTTAGGTTCAATGGATAACACAGTTCGGCTGTGGGATGCAGTGAAAGCATTTGAAGATTTAGAAACGGATGACTTTACTACAGCCACGGGACACATAAACTTGCCTGAAAACTCACAGGACTTGTTACTAGGTACATACATGACCAAATCAACTCCAGTTGTACACCTTCATTTTACACGCAGGAACTTGCTGCTCGCTGCAGGAGCCTACAGTTCACAGTAGATCAGGAAGACGCGAGACTGGCTGGCTGTGCCAAGTTGTTGCAGCAGTGACCTCAGAATGTGAGATGAAGAGAAATGTCTTGTATGGGAGGACTTCACCAGTCCATTGCAGGAAGAAACAAAATTGTGTAAACTAACTCAAGCAACATCTCTGTTCTGCTCCCATAATTCACATGTTCTGCTCCCACAATTTGAAAATGCTGGAGCTTGACAAGACACTGTGGATTTAAAGGAAGGAATTGTTTCGTGGTGCTTTTGGTAAATGTATACGTACGTGTATATATATATATGTATGTATATGAAAATGGCTGTCTCCTCTCAGAGATGCTATTGAGCTCTGCTGAAACTTCTGGAAAGTTAACAGCCTTGGTATTTGTTCTCAAATGACTTTTTTTAAAGCACTTAATGTATGGTTTGGTAACGTTTAACCAGTCTCAAACACAGGTAAAAACTTCAGACTCAGAAAAGAAGAATGTAGTTTAACTCACTATAGCCTAGGCTGGGCAACAGGTATGGTGAGGATATTACAGCAACAAATGGGGCATTGAAAGAATAAGCCCAACAGGCAGAGGCTTGTGGGGAACTGCAGAGAAGTTACATGTAGTTTTTATGCATCTAAGTACCAAGTCCTGAAAAGATTTCAAACTTCTGTGCTCTTTTGAGTTATTAGAAATGCAGATCTTGTTATTCTGTTCTGACAAGTAGCTGCTGCTGTGTGATAAGCAACACAAGTTGCAATGTGAATTCTTTGGAGGGATGGTTTGGGGGAAAGGGACAACTGACATGCATCACCCAATTTTAAAAACATTATACTTAAACCCTCATGTGTTTTATTAGATTTGAAAAGCTTCAAAAACCAGCATCCTTTCAGCATATAGTTCAATACATCACACTCTAAAAACTAGTGAAGGATCAAGAAATTGCAGAGCAAAAAGCTTACTCAGTCATCAGTACGCTATCAGTTTGCTTTTGAAAGGCTGGCTTGTCTGCTTGTGTGACAATTGCCACCCAAAAAAACCCTGCTGTACTCCAGTAAGTCTTGCTGGACAACCAGTAAAGCTCAGAGCTTCTAAGGAAAAGTAAAAGATACAAAATACTGGGAGGATAGAGCATGTTTTGGGGTCTATGAATGGAAAAGGAAAGGCCTCTTAGAATCTTCCACAAACTACATATAAGGAAATCTGTTTGTATTCCCTGTTACTTGCAGTAAGGGCTCAGGCACTTAAACAATCTGCTGGCTCTCTACTGAAGATGCAGAAAACCAAGACTTGACATTTCTAAGGTAAACAAAAAACTACCTCCTATCTCATCCTTTTTCTGACTAAGCCTTGGAGTAAAGGGGCATTGGGGCATTAAATGTCAAAATAAGGGTAGAAAATTCAAAAGGAAACTAATTTGGAAACTTTTTTAAAGACAAAAGGTTAAAACTAAACTACTGTGGATTTTATCTGTAAAGGTACATCAAAATTTCCTAGCACTCAATATGACCAGCTGGACTTAAGTAAAATTGTAGTAAATTAAGTTACCTAAAAGCACATACAGCATTGAGAGCTTGAAGAAATCACTGCCACATTCTGCCTTTTTGTTTTGTACAGTTTTATACTTTTGATAGTATAATAAATACTAAAACCACACAGCTTGTGTCTGTACACTGTACGTTGGAAGAAGATACTTTCTTTCCCTGACAGCTGCAGTGGATGTGAGAGCAGTGCTTTTAAATGTGAGTACTGTGCTAGGAGAAACAAAGTAGTTCAGCAGTTGATGACTAGTTGTTTAACTTACATTTAGTTCTAACTGTATGGGATACATTTTAGCCAATTGTATGCGAAAGTCAAAAAGGACAGAGGCTGTTGATGTGAACAGGACAGAAAGACTAGTTTTATGCAGAAGGATGGCTTTAATAATAAATTAAGGCTGGAGGGAGAACATGAGAACCTTGTGTAATTTCCTCTGACCTACACTTTTTGCCAGCAATCATGCTTACTTCCTAAGTTTAGGTCTTTTTGTCTCCTACTTTTGCACCCCAGGTCCCATGTTCAACCCTTGTTGCTGGTGACCTGCCAAAAAGCACTGTGCTGTGTAACCACCTCCATTGAAGGAAATGAATTTTACTGAATTTTGTTGTAGAAAGATGGGTTAGAGAGCATGATATACCAGCTTTAGGGGTGGGCAGAGAGCTGGCTGTATATACAAGTCAACTAAGGATCACACTATGTTGGGATGCTTTCAACTCAAAACCAGAAAGATTCTATGCAAAATACAGGCAACAGAGGCAGCAGCTGACTGCTGTTCTGCACTGCATTATCATTAATGAAGTAATGGCTTCCATGTAAGTTAGTAGCTGGAAGTGTTAAAAAAAGTAACCAGCACAACCAAGTATTGCAAGCCATGCAAGTTTACTGATGTCCACTATGACACTCAGCAACACAGATGCTCTGCGCAGCTGTAAGCTCTGTGCTTGTTATGATCGTGCTGCTGAGATCTTCCCTAGATTACTACTAAGTGCTCAGGAGGATGTGTTACAACAGATGAGATCAAATACTCAGGAAAGAGTCAGCTACTCCATCTCCACTACAGATGATTTTTGAAATAGGAAGAAAGTACCCCACTTCTGCTTCTTTGCACCATGTCACATTTTCAATAAAGCAAATATTTGTTTATATTTTATTAGCCACCGCAGGACATCAGTTTCCTTTTGCAATGACATGACAAAGATTGGTGCTTCAGACATGCCAAAAACCTGCCAAGAGATGAGAGAGCAAACATATTAGTACCACTGTGCAAGGCTTGCTATTTGAGCATCACCCCTTCCCACAGTTCAAACAGTTTTACATAAAAGCAGGCAAATTTCAACATTAAAAAAAGGAAGTAGTGTCCCTTTATCATAAACAGTTGTAATAAGCTGAAGCTTATTGTTTTCTACCCATTTTGCAGGCTGTGAGGACAACACAAGGGTTTTCTCATTTTTTCAAAATGCCATTTCAGTGAAAATGTATTTGAAAGTGGACTATGTATTGTAACACTTGGTTTTTGCTACATAAGAACAAGCTCAACCACTTCCCTATGGTCCTTGCCTACTCAGCTCTCAGCGCATTGTTTATAGTGCTCCTTTTCTCTGTTCAAGAGGTCTTAATGCAGCGTTAATCTCCTCATAGAATTCTCAGATACAGTTAATAACTAAGTCATTACCTATTACTTCATTTCAATACTCAAAGCAGTAGTAGCAATAGTTATTTTTTACAGCAAAAGGATAAATCACAGGCACACACTGTGTAGGCAAAACCTGACACGCCTAGATGCAACATCCATCCATTCCTCCTTCCTTGCTTATTCTGCATGAGGATCCCTAACCCTGTTTAGCATGTCTGAAGAATAAAAAGAACAGCAGTAACCCATGATTTCTGTGGACCCCAGTAATGACCTAATTTGTTCAGAAGGCCCCCTCCTCCTGCCCCCTCCAAATTACTCTATAACATAATTAAGGTCTAAAATTGTGCACAGAATTCACATGCCTGTGTTTCTTCTCCTAATTATGTTTTGTTATTAGCAGTTTCTTTGTCACTCTTTCTTCCTGAGTTGGAATTGAACCGTTTTCTGGAAGAAAACTGGCCGCTTACCATTTATTTATCTGCCACAGCAGGAGTTTTCTTTTTAGGTCTGAGCTTGAAATACAAGACGAGCATTGCAATGCCTGTATATGTTGCTATTACATACTGTAAAAAAAAAAAAAAAAGTTTACTGTCAGTCTAAAACTCAAAAAAACCCCACATTATTACCAGACTGCAAAAGTTGTCATGATACGTACATTCCTCCTGCCTGTGATGGTGTAGGAATTGAAGTACTTCTGAAATCCAGTGAACTGGTGTTGAGATCCTGAGTCATGGCCAGCCATGGTTGCTGGTTCTAACAAGCAATACAAGACAGCTAATAAGTTTTACAGTCAGTTGGACAGGACCAATAGAAGATCAAACTGACTCCATGCTGTGCCTAGTTCTTCCACTGACAAAACTATTACAATGTTTTCAGAACATTTAACAGACTAGATATACATTGAAGAATGGGCATATTCAGAGCACTGCATCTTCAAAGGCAAGAAAATAAGGGGCTTTGAAAAGGAAAGCTCTTCAGGCTTTCCAGAGTTCATTTAACAGAAATTAAATATGTAAAAAGTAGTCTGTATGATGATAACAACATAAAGGAATATTCCTAAAAGAATCAAACCACCCAAACTGCTACTCCTGCCTACACAACCATCCAGTACGAGTACATCTAGCAATTGTTCTGGAATTTACAACACTTTATTAAAATAACTCATCCTAAGCTCAGCTGGGGAATAGCTTCAGCTGCACGTCCAAAAGCTCAGCAGTGACCTGATTCAGGCAAGACCACTGTGCCATTTTGCAATTCAAAATGCTGCGTTGCAACTTTCATACTATATTAGAATACAAGTGTTTGGTCATTAAAACCTGCTCTGCTCACAGCTGCACATTACTATTGTATTTTTACTTGACCAGGCTGGGCTAAAATACATATTTCTACTCAGTTTTCAGCTATACCAGCAAGCCAGTTGAGGCAACTATAGGACCTTATAAGTGTTTTCACAGATACAGTGAAATCACCAAGCATGAGAGCACGCCTTTGCATTTTGTCTGCACCTAGACCAAAATCCCAGGTCTACTGCACAAAGTCAGTTAGCACAACAGCCTACCAAACACACAGGAACATACTTGCAGAATCACTCAGTAGCTGATGCTGGCACCTCTAGAGATCATACAGTCCAACCCCAACCTGATCAAAACAGGGTCATTCATGGACTTGTCATTAGATTTTTGAGTATCTCTGGAGATGGAGGCTCCACAAATGCCCTGGAGAGCCTGTTTCAGTATCTGACCTTCCTTACAGCACAAGAGGTTTTAATGCTTAGAGGTATATTTTTTAAGAGTATCCTTCTCTTATGCTTAAGGAAGTCATATTTAAGATGGACACTTGTTTACTTTATACCTCAGCTCAAAGGAAGTACACGTGCCGCACACTACCTACCAAGCTTAGCAGAGATGCTGAAGCCCCTGGCACCCTATAAAATAGATACAGAGAATGGCTGTAGCTAGTTCCGCATTCATGAACACAATCCTTGCACAAACCCGGCCCTGTAACACCTCTGCTATGCAGTTAGAGATGCCTGCCTGCGTTCAGCTGAGGGTGAAACAGTGAAGACCCTCAAAGAAACCTCACAGACATTTGCAGTAGACGACGTGGAAAGCCAACCTCATCTTTGATTTACACAAGACCGAAGCAAAACCCTGGAGAAGAGTCACTGGGAACTTTCCAAGGGCGGCTCGGAGCTCAGACAGCGCAACGCAAGCTTTCCTTTTCAGAAGAACTCCCTGCCCTCGGCATGCCCCTCACAGACGCTGCCTCGCCACGGGCCGGAGCTGAGGAGGCGACACAGCGATTGAAGGTCGCGGGCACCCTTGAGAATAACCATAGCCCAATACCACGTACAGCCCTCCCACCCAGCGGCAAAGTCCACCAGAAAGAGCAGGAGACAGAGACCCGCACTCAAGCCAGACAGGCTCCCTCACACCACAGCTGCCACAACTACCTTGGCTGCCTCCTTCCTTACCGCCTCGCTCTGCCCTTCTTCAGCGCCCTCCCACAAGATGGCGGCCACCCAGCTGCGCGCGCAGCCACCAATCCGCACGCTGATTGGTTGTCCACGGAAGCAGGACGCCCCCCTCCCGGCCTAGAGGACGGCTCGCCGCTTCCGCCCGCCCTTTGACCTTTGATCTTCTCCTGGAGTACCGCTTCCGGGGGCGCGCGGAAAGCGGCGCACGTGAGGTTTGGAGCGGTGCGAGTGGTAGCTTTGAGGCCGGGCCTGGGGTGGGGAGTCCGGGTCTCTGTGGGCTGAGCGGTGTGGCCTGTGTCAGTGGCTGCGGAAGGTGTTTGCTGCTTACCGCGCCTCGCTGGACTTTCATTGTACGCTTCCGTAGGTAAAGAGGCGTTCGGTATTTGACAGACAGCTTTAAATGTGATTAATTAGCGATAAGGCAGGTGTTTAGATGGCCCTTGTAATGCTTCAGCGTAGTGAAACGTCAGATACGTTGTGAGTTTTTTGTTTTTCCTCACTGACCGCCTGGGAAGCAGCTATCTGGATTTTTTTCGTAGTTTCTTGGATAATTCAGTCTTACACCTTTTCAGTGTCAGATCTAACAAGAAACAAGTCTAACAGCTGCATGTTTAACTTCTGTTTTGTCATTTGCTCTATAGAAGCGCAGGTATGGCATCCATAGAAGAAAACTTTCCTCGAGGGGGAATCCAGAAGAAGCCCACAGAGACAACAGGAAAAAAACCAAAACCAAAGTTTGAGCAGGATAACTTGTTTGATGTATGTCAAGAGTTCCATTCACTGTCAGAATATGACCTAAAATTCTTCCTGTCCCTTACCTCTATAGTAACCTCTAGAAAAGACTTCTATGAAGAGATAACTGCTGGCATCCTCCTTGCTACTGATCTCTTAAAGATCCCAGCTATCTGATACATGTTGAATGGGATGTCAGGGAAGTGCAGTGAAAATTACCAGAAGATGTTGTACAAGCATCTGATGCGGAGATACTTGCATTGTTCCACTAGAGTTGCTGCATGCAGACAAACTAAATTTGGTCTTCCTCTGTTCCGTGGAGCATGCTGCAGTTTGCTTTTACTGCTTCTCTCTGCTCCTGTGATTCATGGTTTTATAAAAGATTGGACTCAGCTTGAAAGGGGATATTTTAAAAGACTCCCATTAAGGCCTGTAGGAATTAACATGCTTATTTCATTTTTTCTCCAATCTCATGTTTTCATCTAACTTTATTCCTGGCAGTTGAGTTATGCCTTAACATGATGTTCATCTTGTTATCTACTTTTATTCTTTTCCTCTCTACTTATAATTAATTCAGATTCACCATGAAGAACAAACACAGAAAAGAAAAAGGAGCGAAGGGGATCATAGGAAGCAGAAAAAATTCAAGGCAGACAAAAAAGCTCGTGCTAAAGACATTGCTGTTAGTGTTGAACCACTCACAATTCAGGTTTGTGGATAAATGTTTTATTTTGTGTCTCTCCCCCTTAATGACCTTGGTAAAAAAATTTGTGTTTTCCCTCATTAAAACCTGTAACATACAGCAGGAATTCAGGATGTCTACCACACTATTATCACTGACTTGCAAAGGTAACCACTGTGTGCTGTTTTTTCTGTTTTTCCAGGAGCTCTGTGAGGGGATGCTGCTCCTTGGTTGTATAAAAGAGGTAACTGTCTTTGAGCTTGTCATCAGCTTGCCCAATGGACTTACGGGATTTGTTCCAGTCACGCAGATCAGTGACGCCTACAGTGAATTGTTGAGCAAGCAAGTGACCCAAGGGGAGCTGCTGGAGGTGAGACTGGGTCAGGGCTGTGATTTCTGTCTGGGACCTAGAGGTAGGGGAAAATAAGTCAGAATCAAACTGAAGACTTGCTTAGGAGCCTAGTTTCTGGTGTCTTACAGATAGCTGAAGTTTGATTGCCTGCAGCAACTTAGCCGTGGTTAAATATTGCATGAACTTCATAGACAGCCTGTTAAACTTGGATAGATTTGTGCTTTCTTTTTGCTGCTGTAGTTAAATACTGAGCCTTTGCTGTAGGGAGTTAAATGAGGAAGCTAATTAAATGGTTGGAAGATGATGTGAGGATGCCAGTGTCTCACAGACAGCTTGGAGAGAATAGCGTGGTCCTTATAATATTGTTGTGTTTCTGCATACAGAGTCCTGCTGCATAGTGCTAATGTATATTTTCTCTGAGCCCAGCTATTTCAAACTATATTTTCAGTTTCCTGATAATGCAGCTTCTTGGAAAGAAAGAGGATGGAGTAACCTGCTACTCTGTCTATCCAATGTCAGCTCTCCCTAAGTTGTTGTGGAATATGCGATGTGCTGGATGCTAGCCACTTAGTGGTGATGTTTTTCTTTGTCAAAGAGGGTGGTGAGGTTGGTGTCTCACTCTGAAGATGTACTTTGGTCCTCAGCTGCAACATCTTGGCTCTGTGCTGCCTAGTATTTCTATTTAAGTAAAGCTTAGCAGACTTTGCAGTATGTCTCTGCCTCTATATTGAGATTGTGGTGTTTGTGATATTTCCTGCCTTTTATTGTAGTGTTGTCAGAGATCGAGGACTTTCCTATAGGATTTTTATTTCAAAAAACTCATTCAGTAACTGTTTCTGGCCTTCTTGCATGAATTAATGTTGTTGTATTTATACGCCTCCTTACTTTTGGTCATGTTTCTGGACAGGATTTGAATTCTCTCTCAGACCTGTACTCTCCAGGGATGTTGGTCAGATGCGCTGTGACCAGTGTTGAGAAAAGTGCTGATGGACGTCGGAGTATCAAGTTGTCCATCAACCCTAAAAATGTCAACAGGGGTCTGAATGCATCAGCACTAACATCAGGCATGGTATGTGTTCACAGCCTTTCTAGCCTTTTGAGGTGCTTCTTGCAGTGCATGAGTGGAACTCCTCAGTTTGTCCTTGTATGCTATCAGAACAGAACAGGAAGCTGCTGCCTCCAGAGGAATAGACCTGGGAGGAGAGGGCAATATTGGATTTTGGTTATGTTCTTACAGGCTGTCACCCATGAAACCATTCACCTGATTTTTATTTATTAATTTTTTTTATTTGGGCAAATTATGCAGTTACTTCTCTCTGCATAAGTTTGTTTATTTAACAGCCTATCTCTTAGAGGTGCTTGGTTGTTTAATTTTGATGTTTCCAGCTTCATGATTGCAGGTTTGTGTCTGCAGTTAGAGCACCTGCTATAGTTGAGCATTCCATTTTTATTTTCATGCTACTTGTCCATTATCTCCAAACATACATACATAGCTGGACAAGGATAGAGTTCAGACTCCCATTGTCAGGTGAGCTATTGAGTAAGAAAGAATGTTGCGATTGTTCTTTGCTCTGCAAAACTGTTCTCTGGCCTCATGAAATAAGTGAGTACTTGTGTGGTAAATCTCTCCTCAGAGGTGCATTCTCTGCAGATGCAGCTGTTTCTTCACGTTACTGAATTGCAATGCTTCCCTCCCAACAGCTGCTCTCTGGATTTGTGTCTAGTGTAGAAGACCATGGCTACCTCATTGATATTGGAGTCAGAGGGACTCATGCTTTCCTTCCTCATCAGAAAGCCCGAAGTTACATCAAAGCAGTCAAGAAAGGTATGTAGTATTACAGTAAGAGCTGCTGAAGTTAAAATAGATGTGGAGAATGAAAGGGATTGAAGCTCGCTGTATCTGTGGTGTTAGTGCTCCTCAGTGAGCGTTGGGACATGATGGAGTCTTTGCAAATTGTTGAAAACAGCAGTGGCTGATAAGCAAAAAGCCACTAGGTTCCCTGTTTTCTGCCAGGCCATGTTGTTGTTCCAAGCCCTCTGACCCTTGCTGGCTGTAGACCTCACTTTGGTGAGGTCTTTTAGCTTCTTAAAATAGAAGGAACTCTGAAAAAGCTTTGGAGGAAACTACAAAAGGGAACTCCTTAGTGTTCCTGGAAGGGAATTTATGCTGTGGCTTGCCTTTGTAGGGTCTGACTTGAAAATAGGGCAGAGCCTGAACTGCCTCATTGAGGAAGTAAAGAATGAGGGAAGAGTGGTCCATTTGTCTGCTGATCGATCAGAGGTTTCTGCATCCATTGCAACAGAGCAACAGAACTGGACACTCTCTAATCTACTGCCAGGGCTGGTGGTAAAAGCTCGAGTGCAGAAGGTAAGCTGTGTTTTTGTTTGTGGGTTATTTTCTTTTTCATTATTCTTTTTTGGGCCTTCCTGAAGAGATAAAGGTTTAAGTGGACATGGTAGTTGGTAAGCTGGAAAACTCTGGGTTCAGTTACACAAAAAGAGCAGACACTGTTTTCAGCAAGGTGCTCCCGGTGGTTTCACATAAGGTTTGATCTTTGCCATGCTTCTGATACTGTGAGTACAAAGGCTTCGGCCAGGAGATGGCAATAAACCATGGAGAAGAACAGGATGATTTTTTTTCTGTGGTCTATGCCTAGGAAAGTATTCAACACTGTTGCAGTACTCTCAGAGTAAGGACAATATAGGGGAAAATCTGAAGGATTGTTTTTACAAAACTGTAGAAAACAGAGTTGTTAGCAGTTGCCTATTTTGATGTGCTTGTTTAGTGCAAGGTGACTTCTTGTGAAATGTGTGAATTGCTCCCTGTTTCTGAAAACCAATTGACTTCTTAATTATTTTTTTTCAATTATTTTTTTTTCATCTTCACGTATAATTTCCTTCACCCTTCTAGGTGGCTCCACTGGGTATCAGTCTGACCTTTCTGTCTTCCTTCACTGGCATTGTGGATTTCATGCATGTGGACCCAGAGAAATCCACAAATTATTCTCCTAATCAAGTGGTAAGGAAGAAGATGAAACCTGGCTGAAATTATGTTGCTTACAACATCTGTTATCTTCTTCAGCAGCATTTTGAGGAAGGGTGTTTTTCAGTGGAATCTTTTCTGTCTTATCTTTCATTTGAATTACTATCATAGCTGCTTTAGGGCTGTAAAGAGCATAGCCATTCCTGGGGTAAATGGAAGACTTGTTTGGAAAGCATGAGAGACTTGTGAACGGTGGCAAATGAGTTCTGTGGTTGTCTTCTGCTCATTGCATTGATACCAGACTAGGCCATAAACAACGAA